GATAAGAGTTTCTGAATTTTTACATCAAACACATGCCGTAAGTGTTACATGAATTACTTAGTAGCCATGTGGAGCATCAGTGTTAATGTCAGGGTTCAGAGACATGGGTGCTGATGATTCAGGATTTCTCTCCTTCAGTTCATAGCCTCAAGGATACTTAGTTTTTATCATAGGCTTTTGTGAATTGTCACATAGGGTGTTAGTTTTTGCAAACATTTACAATGGGGCATCAAGAATGAATCAAGGCAGATTCCATATTATCAAGCTGTGTATGATTTTAAAAGGGAGCTAGGAAAGATGCATGTGTGTGCTGTATGAAAAGTAAAAAATGTATGTGGGAGTTTGGGGAAGGAGAGAGAATCATGTGTGTCAGATTTTCTGCTCATTTACTTTGTTAGTGCTGTCTTGTTCTCAAATTGTCTCAGGCATGGGAAACAACTGCTTTTGGTGCCCACATCTCAGGATTCTTTGACTGACAAAATGCAAATTGGCAAAATGTCCAGTGAGTCATCAGCACTAATCAAGGAGCTCTCGAATGTTGTTATTGTGGTAGGATACAAAAAGAAAGATGACTGGTACCTCCTTAAGGATGCAGGGGTGGTGTAACCCCTGAGAAGGTATGAGGGCCATGCTAGGCTGAGCCAACACTGTTTAGTGCCCCTTTCTGCCAAGTACTAGTGCAAGCATAACCCCTAAACCTGCCTTTCCAGTGCTCTTCCATTAGGCTCTGTCAGAATTGCCTCATCACTGCCAAGCAGGCCTCATTAAATTGTATTCTAGAACAGTAGGTGGTTTTTATTTTTCTCACAAGCTATTATGCAACTTAAACCTGTGGTAGCATTATTTTCTCAGATTTTGACTGTTATAAAATTAAGCCCATCTACATTTTGTCCTTACTGTCTTTCTAATCAGGTGCTCTTTGGAATTATTTAAATCTTATTTGGTATGTGTTTATATTTTCATATTATCTGCTTGCCGTCTTTTTCTTCTTTTCTTCATCTCCCACAGTTTTTTTTTTTTTGGCTTTAGTGCTCAGATCCCAAATCCTTGTTTTTCCTTCTTCTACTGGTTCCTATATCAGATGCTTATTCTTTCTTTGCCTACTACTTCAGGGATTTCTCTTCTCTAAGTCTCTGACTCCTCCACCATCTCAATTGTGCTTTGTGGCTTCATGAAAAACCCTGAGGTAGGCCTGTGAAGTTTGTTTTTGCTACTTTTCATCTCAGTTCTCCCATTTTTTATTTTTTTAATCCTCACCTGAGGACATGTTTTTATTGATTTTAGAGAGAGAGGAAGAGAGAGGGAGAGGGAGAACGGAGGGGGAGAGAGAGAGAGAAGAGAGCAACATCATAATGTGAGAGAAATGGTTAATCAATTGCTTTCTGTGCACACCCTAACCAGGGATCAAATCCTCAACCTGGGTATGTGCCCTGACCAGGAATCGAACATGCAACCTTTTGGTGTACTGGACTCCAACTGAGCCACACTGGCCAGAGCAAGTTCACCCATCTTTTTTCCTTCCCTTGCCCTACCTATGTCGTAAATAAAATCTACACAAATGTACTGCCCACCAACTGTGGGCAAGGAACTTGGCCAACCTTAGAGGTTCAAATTTGGCTTAAGGATATATAGTTCAATGTGAGAGGCAGAGAGATCCATAAATAACCAAAATAAAGTCTGAGGTATCATGAGTGAGGTATTTGAGGGTCTTACAAGATAATGAGGGACAAAACTAGAGTAGTGTGAATGGAAACGGGAATGAGGAGTATTGCAGGAAAGCCCCCCCCTCTAATCATGACAGAATGAGTTAACATGACATTGGACCCTCCCTTGTCTTGCTGGGAGCTATGTCCAGTCTGGGGTTATCTTGTGCTAACTGCTTGTTTCACCAGGAGGCTCCTGAGCAGACTTTTGGATATGTGTGTCCACGCATTTCTGATTCCCACCTGACTCATGCTGCTGTGTCCCATTTCTAGATTTCTCATGTCATCTTGAGGCCTAGTCTCCTTGCCTTTCTTCCTGTAGTCTTAGCACTGGATGTGGCTGGACAAGTTTAGTCCTGTTCCTCAGGGTTGCCATGTGTATTTTCTTAGAGGGTCTGGGGGAAAAATGGAAAGTAGGGTTGGTTGTGACAGAGGTGACAGGAAGGGGCATTGTCAGGTTGAGATTCCCCTGGGTTTCAGCAACTACAGTATTTATACCTCCCAAATTGACCCAGTTCTGGTGTAGTTTTTTCTGCGGTCACCATTAGAGGTGGAAAAGAACCATAAAAAGACAGTGGTAATAATAGACTGATTTCTGACCTATTTCTCCTTGGATACTTTTCCAACAGATAGAGTTAAGCTAAAGGGGAAGTTGGTTATTTATTAGGTTGCTGTTTGGTGTTCAGATATCTTGCCTCTGGAGAGTGCAAGGGCTTTAGCTGCTCCCTGCTGTCTGTTGTTAACACCTAGCTTTTGGAAATCTAGCCTTTGGAAAAGTACCTACTCATTACTGTGTCCAAAGTACTTGTAGAAATCTGAGCTGCATCTTGCCATTAACAAAGAACACAAAGACTTTTCTTTCTAGATTTAGTTGAAAATTTCATGTTTAGAGCTGGTCAGACAGCCTTCTACAGACTCACTTGGACTCATTTTTCTTTTTTCATGTTTTCATCAGTCAGGGTAGAGGATAACTTTATGACTCTGTATCTCATATATTACATATCTTTCCTAGAACCAGTAAATGCTTCCAGAGTAAGTTATGGAAATACTAGCTTTCTAAAGTGAACTTCAGAGTGGGAGCAGTTGGTTCACAGAAATGTTTATTAAATGAGTAAGATTTAGTAGTGTAGACATTTGTTACTCAGTTTATGGGCTATGTAGCTGGGGGAAAAGTTATAAAACTAATTTTAGTATATATTTAACAGAATATTAGCAATCACTTCTTATGGAAAAAACAGTAATTGTACTTATATATTGGTTTATGTTTTTAATAAGATTTCTATGTGTGTAACCCTTGAGATAAATTAGATGAATACTGCTGTCATCCCCATTTTATAAATGCCTTAAATAAAGGCCAAAAGGCCAATGTGATAGTTCTGGAACTAAAACCCATAACCTAGTTCAGTATTCCTTTCTCTGCAAAATGTTCAGACAAAAAGTTTGCATGAGTTTGTGGTAATAAGAGAACCATGAAGCAGTGGGTGAGTTTATTTTACCATACTGTTTTATCCAGTTTAAGGGGATACCTTTTATTCTGAGATTCTTTCAACAAATATTAAGTGCCCAGCCTTTTACCAGGTGCACAGGTACTCTGTATTATGTTGAGCAATACAGACACGGAGTTTATGTTCTAATGAAAGAAGAGGAATAACAAGTAAGTAAGCAAGCAGTAAAAAAAAGTTCAGGTAGTAATGAGAGCTCTGAAGAAAATAAAATAGAGAAAGGCTGATGATGTTATTTTCATATATTCCTGAAAATGGGCATCAGGGTGTAGAGTACATATGTTTTAAAGGGAGACTCATTCCTGAGGAATCTAAGAAATCATAAAACATCTCTTCAATATGGTGTTTGGAGGATTCTTTCATGTTAATATATTTTTCTTTTTCTTCAACATTAACTTAATTTCCGAAATTGGCTTAAGTCCAATATATCTAGGTGAGGCTAAATATCTGCTGCTTCAGTGACCCCTGACCATACTTCTTTCATGATATTGAGGCTAGGAGAGCCAAACTTATTGCTGTCCTAAATATACATTTTACCATTTTCACTCATCTTTATAAAATAATGAAGGTGCCCTGGCTGGTTAGGCTCATCAGTTAGAGCATCGGCCTGTAGACAGAAGGGTCTCAGGTTTGATTCTGGTCAAGGGCATGTACCTGGGTTGCAGGTTCGATCCCTGGCCCTGGTTGGGGGTATTCGGGAGGCAACCAGTCAATGTGTCTCTCTCACAGTGATGTTTCTCTCTCTCTGTCTCTCCTTCCCTTCCTCTCTCCCTTCCAATCTATCTAAAAATCAATGGAAAAATATCCTCAGGCGAGGATTTAAAAAAAAAGAATAAAATAATGAAGGTAAAACATTAGACAACAATGCTTTCTCATTTCTTTTTTTATTAGCAATAGAACTTTCTTCATGAAAATCCCAGATACTCAGTATGTAAAACAGCTGTGGCCCCCAGTTACATGCTTACTCTCCTCTCCACACTCTTAATGGCCTGGAGGAGTACCTGAGAAGTCACTAGGACTTTGCAGAGCACAGGATGAAAACCACAATAAAAAATTCAAATTGTAAATCCTGCTGTAGAAAGATAGCTGTGTTGCTGAAACTGGCAGAGCCACTATATCAGTGATTCAAAATCATGTTTTGAAAGTCCACATTTATTTAAAAAATAGATTTTTATGTACATTTGAACCTAAAATTGTATTTTCAGGTAGCATTACTATATAAAGCAAAGTCATACTGTCATTGTAGCTGTTTCTTCAGAGCATAGCTTTCTTTAAGTTTTAGTGAGATATAGTCAACATACAACCCTGTATAAGTTTAAGGTATGTAGCATAGTGATTTGACTTACATATATTATGAAATTATTACAATGATACAGAGCATACTTTTTATATTATGTGGGTATCATGGGCTAAAATACTTCTTGTCTACTAATTTAAAAATTAAATTTCATATTGGCCAAGAGTTATTTTTCATAAATTATATAATTATAAATAAATTCATGATATATTTTATTTTATGTATTCTTTTAAAAAAACTTTTAAAAAAATTGAATTTAGAGAGAGAGGAAGGGAGAGGGGGAGAGAGATAGAAAAATCGATCGGCTGCCTTTTGCATGCCCCCCACTTGGGGATTTGGCCCACAACCTGGGCATGTGTCCTGACCAGGAATCGAACCGGCAACCTCTTGGTGCATGGGTCAATGATCAACCAATGAGCCACACTGGCCGGGCTGTTTTATATATTCTTATAGAATAATTGATTTACTAGTTTAAATTTTTTTCTTTTTGTTTTCTAGTTTGCCAGGGTGTGGATACCTGATCCTGAGGAAGTTTGGAAGTCAGCAGAGCTGCTCAAAGATTATAAGCCAGGAGATAAAGTCCTCCTGCTTCACCTTGAGGAAGGAGAGGTAAGAATTTTGCTTTTATTTGTTGTCTTTGGCACAAAGTGAAGGGAATTCAAAAGTATAAGTTTGCTGTGACATACTTAGCTTCAGTTGGAGTTAAATTTTGAACTAATCTAATATTTTTACTTATTAAAATGATTAAAAATGGCAAACTCAAATTTCTGTCCCAGTGGGTTAGGGAAAATAGCAGACACCTTAAAAATCTATTATTTTGGTTCATGAATTGATTATGATTAGGTGTCGATTCACATATAATCTTCCCAGATATGTGTTTATCTGTATTTTGTTTAGGCTAGCATTAAAATGTTTTCATATTAACTAACATATTTCATATAATCGAATGAGCCAGTCCGAAATTTGTTATTTGTTGGAACTAATCATTTGAAAAATATTTACTGATAAACTAGTATATATAAGCTCTTGTTACCAGAAAAATTTAAAACCAATTGTATCTCTATATTTCCCTGTTTCATTCACTGAATGAGTGGACTTATCTTAGTGCCACATTTTTTAAATCTCTCCATTGTATTTCACAGGGTATGTCACACTTTTTTCTTAAAACCTTTGTGACATTAATTTACTTTAAACAACTTATTGTTTAGCAAAGGAAATTAGATATCAATAACATGAAAAGTTAAATAAAATAAAGGGTATATAGAATAGTTCAACACCACTAAGATGTGAAAAGGTAAGTTTATGATTAACTACCAAATAACTAATACTCTCCTGGAAATTCACATGTATTGAGTACTCAATAAGTGCTTTATTTGCTATAACTCATTCACTCCTCACAACAGGCCTATGAGGTGAGGCTATTATTACTACCACTTTATGGAGGAGAAACTGAGGCTCAGAGGGTTTGGGACTTGCTCAGGGTTATATAGGTATTAAGGGATGAAGCGGGGATTTAAGCCAGGAAATTTGCCTTCATGGTCTATGCTCATAACCACTCTGCTATACTCCATAGACAGAGGACTTCAGGGTCCCAATAGAAGAAAGTTCATTATGGGCTGCTTTGTCAGGGAAGGCTTCAAGAAGGAGGAAGGATTTTGACTGGGTAGATAGAATTAGGATCCACAAAGAGAAAGGAGGTAGACCCTGTGAGGATTGGAATGAGTTTTGGAGATAGTTATTGTAACAAGTTGACTGGAGCAGAGATTTAGAAAGCTTTGTGTTCCAGTTCAAGGCTTGAATATTAAGGTACTGGATATATTCCATGTGACAAAAGGTATACTCTCTGACATCAGTGTCAGGTAAAAGAAATAGGTATACTTATGAATAGTGTGACATATGATGTAATAAGCATAAACAAGAAACAAAAGTAGAACAGAGCGGGGAGTCAGGGATCTGGGGAAGGTAAGGGGTCAGGGAGGCATTGTCTGAAGAATGAGTAGGCAAGGGGAGTGCATTTCAGGGATTTGGAAGAGCGTGGGAAAAGCAGGGAGGCGTGCACAATAATGTGTGCTTGGGGAACTACACAATTTCCATGTTGTTGGGATGTAAAGTAAGAGCACAGCACCAGCAAGAGGATGCAGTGGGAACAAGATCACAGAAGGCCTGGTGTTAATGCTAAAACTCTTGGATTTCAACTGGTATGCTACGGGGAGTGACTATATAGTGTTTACAAACAGAGGAAGGGTGCCAGGTTTGTGTTTTAGAAAGAACTCATTGGTGGCATCATGCAGGATAAGTTTTAGGAGAGCAAAACAGAGGTGAGATTAGCTGGGAAGACCGTAGGGAAGAATTAGGTGAGATTAGGAGGGCCTTGAATACCAAACTAAGGAATTAATTTATTCAACGCTTATTGATCATCTGTTTTATGTTAGGTACACATTAGGCACTTTGGCCTTTATTTTCTTTTTAATTTTTTTCCCCCAGTATTGATTTTAGAGAGAGACAAAGGGAGAGGAAGAGAGAAACATAGATGAGAGAGAATGTCGATTGGCTGCCTCCTGCATGCCCCCCACTGGGAATTTGGCCCACAACCTGGGTGTGTGTCCTGACTAGGAATCGAACGGGTGACCTGTTGGTGCATGGGTCAATGCTCAACCACTGAGCCACATGGCTGGGCTGGGCTTTATTTTCTTATGTTAATTCTTATAGCAACCCTGTGGATCAGTAGGTATTATAACTATTTTCCAAATAAGGAAACCAAGGCTCAGAGACATTAAGTAGTTCTGAGTAAGATCAAACAGCCAGAGGTGGCTTTTGTATTGCAGGGGCTAATGCAAGGGCCAGTCTGCTTTGGGGAGGGACATTATGCCCTAATAAACAAGCAGAGAGAGGTAGAGTGGCAGATTATAAAATTTCCTCCCCATTTAGCATAATTCCAACCAGATTTGAATATTTGACCACTGTATGTATATCTTTTTAGTATTAACAAAAGTGACTTTTTAACAAAGCCAGCTTGTCCCTCCCTACAATTAAATTGCATTTTTTCTTGTCATGTGTTATATGCCTGTAATACATAGTTGTGTTACAGTTTCCGTGTGCGGCTATGCCATAAAGTCATGTGCTCTTGCCTTTAAGTATGTATATATTTACACACACACACACACATAAAGTGTTATCACTAATTTCAGAGGATTCTTGGACCTCTTGGGGTTCAGTGTTCCCAAGTATTTACCATGTAACAGGCATTGCCTCATTAAAATTTTATTACACCCCTGTGAGCTGTTTTTGTTATGCCCTTTTTACAAATGAAGGGTTTAGGTTAAAGAACATACTCAAGACCACAAAAGAATTAAGTGCCAGTTTTAGAATTTGAACCTAAGTCAGTCTCACTCTAGAGCCACTGTGTTATATTGCCTTTCACTTATCATAGATGAAGAGGAAAAAAACAAAATACAAATAAAGATTAAAAATTTACGGTCTAGTAACTGGGTAAAAAAGTCTAGGTGTGAAGACTTCTCAAACTATATAAGCAAAAATTGTTAATACAAGTTAATACATCTAGTGAAAAAGAAGGCTCTCCTTATCTTTTTGCCTTTCCCATCAGTTTCTGTGGTTTTGGAAGGTGCTAGGAAAAGAATACATTAAATAGCTGAGAAGCAAATCAGGAACAGGAAATAAGCAAAGTGCATGGGCCTGTTTCATGTTTACTGCTGTGATTTATCCAGATGCTGTATCTTGTGCATTTTCAGGATTTGGAGTATCGTCTAGATCCAAAGACCAAGGAACTGCCTCACTTAAGAAACCCTGACATACTTGTGGGTGAAAATGACCTCACAGCCCTCAGCTATCTTCATGAGCCTGCTGTGCTCCATAACCTCAGAGTCCGCTTTATTGATTCCAAACTTATCTATACATATTGTGGTAAGTGTACCTTGCTGTCTCAGTGGACTGTGAACTCTTCCTTCTAATGGGCGTAACCATGGAAAGATTGTGCATGGGGTAGGAAGATTGGGATTGGATTTTCTCTTAAAGACAGTTTCACTTCAAAGTTATCAAAAAGATTTACCAGTGTTCATTACCTAATTGTACTTTATGTTGAATAAGCTCTTTTGTGAATTAACTTAATTTTCGTCAAAATAAAAAGAACTGGGCCCATTTTGGATTTTTCCCCCCACAGAATTAAAAAATTTTTTTCTTAATTGGTTTTTTAGAGGAAGGGAGAGGGAGAGATAGAAACATCGATGAGAGAAAACATTAATTGGCTGCCTCCTGCATGCCCTACACTGGGGATCGGACCCACAATCTGGGCATGTGCCTCACCGAGAATTGAACTGGCGACCTCCTGGTGCATGGGTCGACGCTCAACCACTGAGCCACACCAGCCAGGCCTCCATAGAATTTATATGCCAAATTCAATGCCAATTTGCCAGTTATTTTCATCTCTTATAAAAACTAGTACATGAAGAGTAGATGTCCAAAGACTTGTCTTTGGGACTAGTTCAAGAAGTTTAGTGTTATCTTTTTCTTAATTACTTAGAAATGCAGCACTGATTAGACTTGTAATAACTATTCTTGTTTGATCTGCTTGTCTAGGCCCTGCTCATTGCTATTAGCTGCCAGGGGCCCAGCTCAGGATTCTTTTTCTGTCTCTTAGAAATTAAGCATGCACATGTATGTACATTAGGATTTCTGTCCCTCTTTCCTTCTTTCTCGATTTTTTCTCTCTTTCTCAATTGTTTTTTATCCTTTATTTTCTCTGTTGTCCCTGGCTTGTTTATTCCTACTGACTTATCTTTCTTTAACTAATCATTCTCCTCTGAAACTCAGATCCAAGATTTCCATTCACTTCCTTCTAAGTTTATTTACTTGGAATACGCAACTCAGTGCTGACCATTCTTCATTACCCTTCTGTTTTGGACAGGAACAGATATCTTTTCTTTTTAAAATAATTTATATCAGCCTGGCCAGTATGGCTCAGTGAGGGTCATCCCATGGACTGAGAGTTTCTGGTTTGATTCCTGGTCAGGGCACATGCCTGGGCTGTGGGCCTGATCCCCAGTAGGGGGTGTTCAGGAGGCAGGTGATCTGATGTTTCGCTCTCAGATCAATGCTTTTATTTCTCTCTCTCTAAAAAATCAATAAAAACTTATAAAAAATTGATATTTTTATATCTTTGATATTAACTCCTTTTCTTCCCTATGTATTAACTGAGTATTTCTTATTTTTCAGTTTTCATTTTTCTTTCTTTCTTTTTTTATTATTATTATTTTTTATTCTCACCCGAGGACATTTTTCCATTTTATGTTCAGGTAGAGTGGGATGGAGAGAGGGAGAGAGAGAGAGCGAGAGAGAAACATCTACATGAAAGTGACACATCAAGTGGCTGCCACCCACACGACCAACCAGGGCCGGGGACAAACTGCAACCGAGGTACACGCCCTTAGTGGGAACTGAACTCGGGACTCTGGACCACAGGCCGACACTCTAATCATTGCGCCAAACCTGCCAGGGCTAATTTTTCTTTAATTAATTTATTTTTGCACATATGTTACTTTCTTGGTGAAGCCTTCCTGCTAAATCATAATCATCTTCTCTCTTTAGTATCTATATTCCTTTTCTATTTTTTTTTTTTTTTATCCTCACCCGAGGACATTTTTCGATATTTTGTTCAGATAGAATGGGAGGGAGGGAGGGAGGGAGGGAGGGAGGGAGGGAGGAAGAGAGAGAGAGAGAGAGAGAGAGAGAGAGAGAGAGAGAGAGAGAGACATCGACGTGAAAGGAACACATCAAGTGGCTGCCACCCGCACGACCCAACCAGGGCCAGGGACAAACTGCAACCAAGGTACGTGCCCTTAGCGGGAACCAAACCTGGGTCTCTCAGGACCGCAGGCTGACGCTCTAACCGCTGAGCCAAACCAGCCAGGACCCTTTTCTATTTAAATTTTCTCCTTTTCCTTACTACTATCTAACCTATATGTATATATTTTTCCTTATATATCTTGTTAAGTGTTTGAATTTCCCACTAGAATATAAGGTCCATGAAGGTAAAGATTTCTTTTTTGGCCCTGGCTGGTTTGGCTCAGCAGTTAGAGCGTCTGCCTGCAGTACAGCGAAACCCGGGTTCGGTTCCCGTAAGGAAGGGCATGTACCTCGGTTGCAGTTTGTCCCCAGCCCTGATTGGGTCGTGCGGATGGCAATCACTCGATGTGTCCCTTTCACGTCAATGTTTCTCTCTCTCTCTCCCCTTCCCACTCTATCTGAACAAAAAATGGAAAAATGTCCTAGGGTGAGGATAAACAACAACAAAAAAAAGATTTTTTGTTTTGTTTACCATTGTAAACCTAGTACTTAGACTTGAAACATAGTTGGAGCTGAAAAAATATTTGTTGAATGATGGCTTAATGGCTTCATTAAGTTAATATACACCTACTGTAAAATTTAAGGAAAGAACAAAAAAAAAGTATTAAAAAAGAAAAGAATTACATGTAATTTATCACTCTATTATATATTGTTTTCACTTTTCATTGCTATGAATAAAATTATGATAAACATCTTTATTTAAAAAAACAAACTCCCTACACGAATCTCTTATTTCATTTAAAGTGGAATTTTTGGTTTAAATATTATGAAAATATTTCAAGTTATTTTAACTGTCACAATTGTTATTTTATTTTTTAAAATTATGTTTTTATTGATTTTTTTAGAGAGAGTGGAAGGGAGAGAGAAAGAGAGAGAAAGATCGATGTGAGAGAGAAACATCGATTGACTGCCTCCTGCACGCCCCCCACTGGATATTGAGCCTGAAATGCAGGCATGTGCCCTGACCAGGAATCAAACTGGGACCTCTCAGTTTATGGGACAACACTCAGTCTGCTAAGCCACACCATCTGGGTACAGTTATTATTGTTATTATTTTTTTTCGTTATTGATCTTACAGAGAGAGGAAGGGAGAGGGAGAGAGGGATAGAAACATCTAAGAGAGAATATCAATTGGCCTGCATGCTCCCCACCAGGGATATAGCCCATAACCTGAGCATGTCCCTTGACCAGGAATCGAACTGGTAACCTCTTGGTGCATGGGTCAGTACACTACCACTGAGACACACCAGCCAGGACAATTGTCATTATTTTAAATAACCTAGTTCAGCTTTTATTTATCTATTTATTTTAATTTGTTTTTTCTTTATTGAGTTTTTTTAAGAAAGGAAGGAAGAGGGAGAGAGAGAGGGAAACATTGATGAGAGAGAACATCAATTGGCCGCCTCCTGTATGCCCCCCACTGGGGATCAGGCCCACAACCTGGGCATGTGCCCTGATTGGGAATCAAACCGGCAACCTCTTGGTGCATGGGTCGACGCTCAACCTCTGAGCCACACCAGCCAGGCTAGTTCAGCTTTTAATTGGTGTTGTATTTAAGACTAAGTGTAATGGTTCAGAGGCAAAGGCTATGGCATATTTTTTTTTTTAATCCTCACCCGAGGATATATTTCCATTTTTTTTTTTTTTTTGTACAGATAGAGTGGGAGGGAGAGAGAGGAAGGGAGAGAGAGAGAAACATCGACGTGAAGGGACACATCGAGTGGCTGCCACCCACACGACCAACCAGGGCCGGGGACAAACTGCAACCGAAGTACGTGCCCTTAGCGGGAACCGAACCCGGGTCTCTCCGGACCGCAGGCCGACGCTCTAACCGCTGAGCCAAACTGGCCAGGGCGGCTATGGCATATTTTGATCCTTAACAATTTGTTCAGTATTAACTGAAATTCCAATTTGTGTTAACTATGATTCTCACTTAACCAAGTTTAGTATACTCATTAGGATATCATTGACTTTTTATTTTCCTCTTTCACCCCCTTCCCCAGGTATAGTCCTAGTAGCTATAAATCCTTATGAACAGTTGCCTATTTATGGAGAAGATATTATTAATGCATACAGTGGTCAGAACATGGGTGATATGGATCCACATATCTTTGCAGTAGCTGAAGAGGCTTACAAGCAAATGGCCAGGTGGGTGGAAGCTCTATTTATTATTTCATGACTCTTATTAGATGTGATAATTTCTAACTTACACATTTTTATTAAATAAATAGTCTTGACTAGTTTGTCTCAAATGGCTTGCATTATTATTAAAATGACCTACATTTATAAAGGGACATATGATTGTTAAAAACTGCCTTTGGAATCTCATTGTGATCCTGTGACTGTGCAAGGACAGATACTATGTTTTACAGATGAGTGGATCAAGCATTGGTGGTATTAAATAATTTGCCCAGTGTCATTCATCTGAGTGGCAGACAAGAACTAAAAGCTGGAAGAAATCTGCCTGTATTTTAGAGAATTAAATATCAAGGAAATTGTGAATTTTAATGTTAGCAATATGTGCTAGGACATCAGTGATTCTGAGTAGCATCAGCAAAATGTCTTTGATATTAACCATGGAACCTTAACATTTTAAGAGTGGAAAATGGGAGAAAAAAGCTACTTTTAAGACTAGATTGTACTAGTCTTAAAATGCAAATGCAGTTTGCAATGCAAAACTGTGGATGCATAGAAGAATAGTATATATTTAACTCATTTCTCCAGCCCACAGGTAAGAACTTGGCATACTATAAATTCAATATGGGAAACCCTCAAACAATTTGTGAAGTGGAGAGAAAACTAATACTGCAGAGGCTTTTAGTTTTTTCTTTCCAACCAGGGAGAGTTGTTTATTTATACATAATTGGTTCTGCGTGTGACAGAATCTTAGAATTTTTCAATGACAGTCCATAGAAGTCATTATACCCTTTTATTAATATAATATTATTAATACTTCTTATAGCAGCAGTTATTAAGTACCCTCTTTGTGCAAGACACTGTTTATTTGCTTTCTATTTATTAACTAATTTTATCCTCACAGAGCCTTCTAAGGTGGTATTACTATTAATCTTCATTTTACTGAGAAATTATGTAACTTTCCCAAGGCCACAAAACTAGGAGGCCTAGCTTTCAAGTTCCATTAGTCTGACACTATGAAATATTAACATATTAAATATAAAATAAACATGGTTGTTTTTTTTTAACTAAACATAGTTTCATACTACATAACATGCCATATTGTAACGGATTCTACTATAAAATAGTAATGAGTGTCAAAAGTTTAAGAAACTCTTTACTTAAGCTTAAAATTGAGAAAATTCCACGTATTAGTATAATTTTTTCCCCTTAAAGTTGAAAAGCCCACCAGTATTTGATGTGTATAGTATTGGAGCATTGCAGTATGGTTAGCACTATGCAAGTACAACCTGAGAACTACTAGGCAGAGAGGGAATTGCATGGAGTGCTAGAGCCTAAAAATAATCTCTGAAAAATTTTATACTGCTCATAAATTATATGACTTCTTTGAAAATGCGCTTGTTAAATTTGAAAGCTTGGCTCTTAACCATCTTGCTACAGGTAATCCACAAGTAATATTAGATTTATATGAATATTTCTTGCTTTTTACCCTTAGATTTACTTTGGTTTTCTAACATTTGCCCCCTGATTATTTCCCTGTGGCTTAGCCACTCAGAGTGATTTATTAACTGCGGGTTTGTTTGTTGGCTTTCTCTTTGCTCAGTTTTGTTTTTTACACAGTTTTACTGTGTGCTTCAGTCAGTTATGATATTAAGTTTACCTTTTAGATGAATAAATCTACACGCATAAAATGTTCCATAAGAGCTAAATAGACCATGTCTGCTTAGACTTATAGTCGGGAATTGATGCTGCAGGATCACTCTTTTTTTCTTACCAAATGAAGATATGCCATCTTTACTAGATGTGAATTCTGGTGTTTCACATTACCAGTGCTCCCAGAGGCCCCTTTCATCTTCGGGGAAGGTACAATTCATTGCTTGTTCAATAGACCTTCACTGAGCACCATGCAGGCACTGTTTGGAGCATGGGGGACATAGCAGTGAACAAATGAGATAAAATAGACAAAAATTCACATGCTCACGAAGTGAGGCATGATAAACAATAAAAATAAATAAGATGCTGCCGTGGCCAGTGTGGCTCATTTGGTTGGAGTGTCACCCCTTGCACCAAAGGGTCATGGATTTGGTTCCCGGTCAGAGCACATACCTAGGTTGCGAGTTTGCTCCCCTGTTGGGGTATGAGTGGGAGGTAGCCAGTCAATGTTTCTTTTTCACATCGATGTTTCTCTCTCCCTCTTCCTTCCTCTCTCTCTAAAATCAATAATAAAAAAGAGAAATAATAGGACCTGCCAGTGTGGCTCAGTGGATTGAGCATCGTCCCATGGACTGAGAGGTCCTGCTTCGATTCCTGGTGAGGGCACATGCCTGGTGGGGGGCATGCAGGAGGCAGCCAATCTATGTATCTCTCTCACATTGATTTTTCTGTCTCTCTCTCTCTAACTCTCTTTCTCTACAAAATAAATAAATAAAAATAAATAAAAACATTGAAAAAATAGAAATAATAGAATTGAAAAAAAATAAGATATACATTTGTCATGTACTAATAAGTGGCATTTTGAAAAATAAAGTCAGAAAAGGAGGTAGAGAATCCTGGGTGGGCCAGAGGATGTATGTTCTAGATTCAGCGAAGTCCTCACTGTAAAGCTGCCTTTTTTTTCTTCTAAACTTAAAGAAAATTTCAGACTTACTAAATGGTTGGAAAATTATATACTCCTGACCACCTGTGTCTTAGCTGCCATGTGGTACCAAGTATCCTACTTATGCAAATAGACTTGAAGTAATGCATGCTTCCTGGAAAGGAGAGTTTTATGTATGATATGTAAAGGTGGATTAACTTACATTAATTAGTAGCTACCATGTTTACATGCCTACGGTGTGCCAAGCATAGTGTCAACAGGTTACATCTATCTTCATGACATCCTGGGAAACTGACAGATGAGGAAAGTAGCTTGTTCGGGCATCATACTACTAAACAGTATCTGGGAACTGAGATTTGAATCCAGCTCTGAGACTTCAAAGCCTTTCTTCTTTGGCATTTAATTTTCTTACTTTCAGTTAAGTGGTCTTACTCTAACACATCTATTCCCTTAAATTAACATTGCATACTTCTATTTCTGCACCTTTTATTCAGCCTAGAATATCCTCTTTCATGCTCCTTTATCTGATTTCTATTTATTCTTCATGATTCCACTCAAATTTTACTTTTAGACCACCTGGTAAATGATTCCTCTTTAGGATTCCTTATTATATGAATTTGGAACATGCTAAGTACTATCTACCCCATAGGGTTGTAGTAGGAATAAAATACAGTTTAAGTATAAGAGTCTGTAAAACTTATAAACAAATATAATTAGCTCTTTCTGTTATGGCATTGTTATATTAATCTCAGAGGCTCTGTACTGATAGAACAAAAAGTCAAATTACATGAGAGGATCCGATAGCCATGTGACAGGCTTCTGACCAGGAATTAAATGACCTTAGCATGTATCTGTAGGGAACACTTATTTTCATTTTCTGAATAGTCTCTCGGCCTCTCTAAAGCAAAGAGTGCCAGCATATTCTTTTATAGTAGATAGTTACACTTCAAAAATAATACTTAAGCCCTGGCCAGTTTGGCTCAGCGGTTAGAGCATCGGCCTGCGGTCTGGAGAGACCCGGGTTCGGTTTCCGCTAAGGGCATGTACTTCGGTTGCAGTTTGTCCCCGGCTCTGGCTGGTCGTGTGGGTGGCAGCCACTCGATGTGTCCCTTTCATGTCGATGTTTCTCTCTCTCTCTCTCTTCCTCTCTCTCCCTCCCACTCTATCTGTACAAAAAATGGAAAAATGTCCTCGGGTGAGGATAAAAAAAAAAAATAATAAAAAAAAATAATAATACTTAAGCCCTGGCCGGTTTGGCTCAGTAGTTAAGTGTTGGCCTGTGGACCCATGAGTTGCGGGTTAGATTCCAGTCAAGGGCATGTACCTCGGTTGTAGTTTGTCTCTGACCCTGGTCAGTTGTGCAGGAGGCAACCAATCGATGTGTCTCTCTCACACTGATGTTTCTCTCCCTCCCTCCCACTCTATCTGATGATAAATAGAAAAATATTCTTGGTGAAGATTAAAAGAATATAATAATAATAATACTTAATATTGTCATGGTAAACTCAATGCCTAGTATAAACCTTTTAAAGTTTAAATCTTTTCTTCTTGGGATTGGTCAAAAGCAGAAATCAGAGAGACAGCAGAGTGGCTTGATTTTGACAAGTGATAATAATGCACAAAAGCTTAGCATCTCTCTAATAAGGAAGATAGGGATTTGAGTGTCAAGTGAAGCCACATCTTTAAGTCACCACAGTAAAAACACAGCTTTGGAAGAAAGCATTATATTGTATATTTGTTTGTTTTTTAAATAAAGAATCAAATAAAGGGAGAAAGCATTAGATTGATTGCCTGCAAAGAAGTAAACTCTAGGTTTTGTTTTTGTTTTAAATTTTTTTTTTCTTTATTGATTTTTAAAAGGAGAGAGAGATAGAAACATTGATGAGAAAGAACATCGATTGGCCGCCTCCTGCACACCTCCCACTGGGGATTTGGTCCACAACCTGGGTATGTGCCCTGACCAGGAATTGAACCGGTGACCTCTTGGTGCATGGGTTGATGCTCAACCAGTGAGCCACACCAAAACTAAGTTTTGTTTCATGGACATGTTCACTTATAAGCTAAAAATTAGACCTACATGCTTGAATACTTTATTAGGGTAGGTGGCAACATCCAGTGGATGTTTATTAGAGAGTAAATATCACCATGGGTGGATATATTAAATTGTGTTCTGCACGATTCAGGTCTGAGGTAGCGTTACTTAGTTTCCTCATTAATTATCTGGATGTGAATTGAAAGTATGCTCCTTACATTTGCAGAGGACAAATGGATGGTTTTGGGAGATATGAATAGTATTCAATGTGACCATGATAAACTAGAGAGATTACATTTTTAAACAATACACCTGATACAAAATGAAAACTTAATAAACAAAATATAAGGAAAGGCTGGACAGACTGAATAGATATAGATACTG